TTCAAATGATTATCTTCATATTCAAGCATTAATTCAGCATGCTGACCTGAAAGGCAGCCGTAGCTTCAGTAGAGCCCGATCTCCGTCAGGTTGATCTTGATGATGACATCAGTTACTGCGTCGAACACAAACTCCACATTCTTGGTGTCTGTCGCACATGTACGGTGTGTGTAGATATCCTTGATGTCCTTTCGTTTATTCAAGTCTTCGAACTGGCACTGGATATAATCTGCTGCCTCTTTGTATGTGCTCCCACCTACAGTGAAAGACAATAAATTGTTTAAGAAACATCCCGTTAACGATCTCTGGATCACCTAATTATACCTGCTTTTCTTTGTAGAGAACATGTTATACACAGACTATCTGATTAGGAACAGTCTAGTTCAATTATGCACTTATTTAAAAGAGTATAGTATATCCAAAGCTTATTTAAGACAACCCACAGCTTAAAACTTCCATAAACTAATGTTTGTCTCACCAGTGTACTCGGGGTAGCAGATAGTGAGGGGACTTCTGGTGATCTTCTCTTCAAACAAGTCTTTCTTATTGAGGAAAAGGATGATGGAGGTGCGGGTGAACCACTTGTTGTTGCAGATGGAGTCGAAAAGCTTCATGCTCTCATGCATCCGGTTCTGAGGAAAGAGCAGATGTGACTGTGACCACAATTGGCATTTCTTGCAGAGGACATCTTGACCTGACACAAACTGAATATCATCAATCTGCTTCGCTTTTAGGGTCCCGTCGAGCACCGAGAAACCCGACTGGCACGGTGCCGGTTAGTGCCAGCTGGCGTCCAGCCCTTGCTAGTTATGTTGACCTGAACCAACAGCTCTGTGTGAGTCATGAACAAAATGTACCACATGTACAAACAGCAGTGAAGTAGGCCAACAATAGCGTACTTTACTGTGCTTGCAGAAAGTGCAGCCAATCACTGACACAGACAAACCACAGAATCGAGTTCACTGTCGCACTGTGTCGGCTTACCTGCACATTTTATGTAAGCGGAGCCATTATTAGTGTGGTTAGCAATCTTTCCCTTTCCTTCTATCATAAGATATGTAAAATAGGCCAACAGTGTGCCAACAAGAAAACCCTATGCTTTATGATTTATAAAGTGGACCAGAATCGGAGTGTACGCTTCACAGTGCACTTACCATTTCCTCATCCTCAGCCAAGACGAGGTCATAGTCACTGAGGGCCACACAGAAAATGATTGCAGTGACTCCCTCAAAACAATGGATCCACTTCTTTCTCTCTGAGCGCTGACCTCCAACATCAAACATCCTGCGTACACATGCGCAAACAGATTCAGTTACTGCATAAACATTCTCTTTCATGCTCATATTACAGTTGTGATGTCTTTTTGTGTGTTTTCTACAAGGATGTGCACCAACACACACACACACATGGTGCACGCTGATGTCTGCACTCTCACATCTCATGTCTGTGCCTCTCCCTCCACCTGAGTCCCTGAGAGGCAAGTCGAATCTATACTATGATTTTCAGCTGAAGCCAAAATGAAATTAGAGAGCACCGCGTTTTTCAACACCAATCGAGTGATTACACATTTTTAGATCCTGAGCGTTTTTATGGGATTACAAATGAAGGGAGGCCAGGAAGGCTATTACACTAAATGTTTTACCAATATTTATAAGTACAGGAGCTATATAATGTAATAATGTGAAAGGACTGAAGCGATGTAATTCCATTAACAGCCACAAAGGTGGGTCATCTTGAGCTCAACAGCAGCAGCATTTGTGAGTTATGTAAGAGGAACAAAAACCAGCTCTATGATTTTGTGAAAACAGCATCCTCTAAGCAATTTTATTTTTTTTAATTGTGTTTAATCAGCATTTTACTTTTGAGCATTTGTGATGCTGTGACTACAAAGACGTTTCATTCCCAGGTGAGGCCTGTTCTCTCATTATTCTATAACAAATTAAGCACATAAAAGATGTGTAATTGAATCCAAGTGTTGAACTCGGATTTGACAG